ATTTTTACTGCTTTCATAGCATTCAATTCTATTGATCTGCCATAATTTGCTCAATGAATTCTCTATTATTGGAATTTGGGCTATTTTAAAAATTTTATTATCCTTAATAATGTTGTGATTAATGTATGTGTACATAAATTTTTGTGATTATTTCCTTGTGATATGTCTAAGAAGTAGATTCTTACTATTACTACATTTTGAATGCAGAAAAGAAGTACTATGAAAATACGATTGGAATAAATAATTTTTGAACCGGGTCTCCAAAAGTCAAATAAGCTAACCTACTTATTTGACAGCAGAGAACACTGCTGAGAAGGTGAGAGAAAGAAAGTGATGAGCTCAAGGCAATACAGTACTTCAGGAAAAAAGCTAGAGCTGACTGTTTGAAACTTTAGTATGAAAGTGAAAAAAATAAAGAAACTTTAGTATGATAGAGAGCATCGCAAATAAACTTAAAACGACGGGGTCCGGTATCAGAGTAGAGGCGGCGCAGGGGCGGGCACGGTCGCGGCAGGAGAAGACAGCTGGGTTGGTTGGGAGACTGGTTGGTTACATTGAACAAATAAGTACATTGATTGAGCAAATAAGTAAATATATTGAGGAAAAAGAAACTCAGGTTTATAACTGTTGGAGAAGGTAAATTTATTTTTAAGAATGGAAAAAGGATAGTCTAGAATCTTGAGGTGTTAGATTGGAATTAGAGATATTGGCAGGAATGCATGGTTTTAAAATATATACTCTGACCCAGGCTTGTCAAATTAAGATCGGCACAATTTTAAAACTATGGCATTGAGTAACAACTAGAATAATAAAAACAAAGGATGAAGTAAATAGGAAAAATGCATATACACTGATAGATATAGAAATTGTCATGGAAGGATAAATATATGCCTGTGTGTATTGAACATATAATATATATATAATATTATTATATATATATTTCTTGCTCTGTCCACTGAGAGAGACCAATGACCCTCCAGTAGCAAGGAGAGCACCGAGAGTTCAGATCATAATACCATCTCCCACTTAAAGGGCCCAGGCAAGTGTAAGATGAACCTGCAACATTTCATTGTGCTAGAAAGTAAGACAATGCTCAAAGCATAATGGGAACACATCTAAAGAGCACAAGAGCCACGCTGAAGGGTCCCCCCCCTAGCTAAATCTGGGGCAACTTGAACATTAAAATGAAAAAGTATGTAATATAATTGAAGTAAAGAGGGTAGTAACTCATGAGTTCAAACTGGTATAAATATATGCATGCATACACACATGTATGCATCCATACACACATCCATCCATGCATGCATACTTACATACACACATGTACACACACATGCATGCATACATAAACGAAAGGTGGAGAAGAAAAAACTCTCCCTTGCAGTAGATTGTCAATGAATAATTGTAGAAGGAATGATGGAAATAGAAAATTAGCAGAAGCCAGTGATTTTCAACTTTTTCATCTCATGGCACACATCAACTAGTTACTAAAATTTTGTAACATACCAAAAATATATTATTTGCTGATTTGACAAAAATAAACAAATATAATAATTCCTTTACAATGGCTATTGTTACGCTGGCTATTGTGATTTTTTTTTTTTTACTTGACAATCTAAGGGAAAAGAGGTCAGTGTCCTTGACTAAATAGTCAGCATTACATGTTTTAAAAATTCTTGCAGCACATTGGTTGAAAATCACTGATTTACACAATACTACTTGGCTGTTCAAAAGAAGGTAATATTACTTTTTGTGACAGCATGGATGAACCTGAAGAGTATTATGCTCACTGAAATAAGCCAGTCAGAGAAAGACAAATACCATACGATTTCACTCATATGTGGAATCTAATGAACAAAATAAACTAACAAAAATAGAAACAGACTCATTGACAGAACAAACTGACAGCTCTCAGAGAGGAGGCGGGTTTTGAGGGCCAGGTGAAAAAAGGTGAAGGGATTAAGAAAAAAAACCTCTCATCGGCAGACAACGGCACAGTGATTACCAGAGGGGAAAGCAGGGCGGGGAGGGCGGTGGAAGAGAGTGAGCGGGAACAAATGGTGAGGGGACGAGACTTGACTTGGAGTGGTGAACACACAATGCAATATGCAGATGAAGGATTATAGAACTGAAGGATTATAGATGAAGGATTATAGAACTTGAAACCTACATAATTTTATTAACCAATATCATCCCCCCCAATTCAATAAAATTAAAAAAAAAGAAAAGAAAATTACCACTACCATAGTTGTGGCTGACTCAGGAGAAACTTGGCAATGGACGCTAAGTTTTTGTGGGTGGAAATTTGATGAAGAATAAGGTATTGGTGTATTCTTGGAATACGTTTCCACAAAATCTAACAAAAGGAAAAACTACAAACTCAATTACAGAGGCAAAAATAACGATTTTATGGTGGAGAAACATAGCTGAAAAAAAGAAGAGAGAAAAGCCACAAATGACAATCTGGGAGAAGATATTTGCAACATGTATAAGAGTCAAAGGGTAGGAGTTCCTTGTATACAAAGAGCTTCTACAAATCACCATTTGTATTATAGTCCAATTTAAAAGGGGGGAAAGATATGATAAGGCAATTAAGACAAGATATATAAGTGTTCAGCAAACATATGAAAAGATGTTCATTATCAATAATAAAGAAATGCTGAGGAAAACATTTTTCTTTGTTATACTGGAAACAAAATAAGAGGCTGATAATATTCCAGTCTCTTCATTGGCACCACAACCCTTGCTGGTTAGAACAGAAACTAAGGTGCTTTCTGATGAGATGTTCCTTGCAAAATGGCTAGACAATACTCCAGCAGTTTTGCAAATACAGTATATACATATATTATAGAGAGAGCTAACATGGTTCCCTTGCCAATGTAGAAACACCCTGTGATGTGTTCCCTGGAAACTTCCTCCAATGTTCTATCAAAAATTGTCACACAAATGGCCATATACTCAAGCATTAACAGGAAGGGATAAGAAGTCATAGCATGATGAAATCAGAGAACCCTGGGCTAATATTTATGTACCCCATCCATCAACTGATGCCTGAGCTCTTCCCTAAAAGAGCTGCACCGCCGTCCAGCATCTGCTGGGACACCCTGCAATTGCTCGTTCATTCATTCTCTCCACAGATATTTACTGAACACCTATTTTGTTCCAGGGCAGAGATAGTGCGGAGAAGTGAGCGAGGAGTAAAATGAGACAGAGCACATCTCCTCAGAAGGCTTGTAATCTAGAGGGAGAGACAGCGTTAATCATATCACCATGCAAATAAGTTTAAAACTGTAACTATGGTGTGTGTGAAGGAGAGGTACTTGATGATAGGAGAGCCTAGAACAGGTGAATTTGACTTTTCAGGCGAGGCTTCCCTAAGAAAGTGTAGCTTGTGCCGAAATATGATGGATGGGAAGGGGGTTAACTAGGTAAAGAAGAAGAGGCGAGAGCATTTCAGGCAGAGGGGCAGCATGTGTAAAGGCCGGAGGCAGGAGGTGGTGTGATGACTCAGAGGGGCAGGGCGAGGCTGGTTGGAAAAGAGAGACATAGAGGGAGACTTAGTGTGAGAAAAGACTGGCACGAAGGGACCAGTCAAGTGAAGGGTGCGATCTTTATCCCAGAACCACAGGAGCCTGGCACACCCAGGGACAGGACCGGCTCAGTGTTTGGAGAAGATCCCTCCACTGCCTTGTGCATTTTCCCTGTACCAAACATGCATAAATAAAAACCGCAAGCTAGCTGTCCCCATAGTTCCACAAAGGATGGCAGGTTTAATCCTCCTTTCTCATGACCAATATTTGGGGAGGGCAGCCTCTGTCTGATGCCTTTCGGTTGGTCCTGTTCTCTCAGCCTGCAGGCCTGAGAAAGGAATGTAAAACCAATGGAGGGCCCAGGAAGGCAAATAGAAAATGATTATTGAACAAGTTTAAAATTGCCCAGAATATAAACTCTCACTTTGAAACCACCATCGGACTGAAATGGAGGACCGCGAACCTGAGAATAATGAATATTAAACAACCAGAGTGTATCTGTGACGTCGGATAGCCAGGCGATATCAGGAGAGGGAGAGCAGGAGGCCTTTTCATCCTTTAGACTGAGGTCTGGTCACCCAATAGTAACAGGGAAGGAAATTAACATAAAAAAAAAGTCCTGTGAAGTAGTCCTGAATTTAAACATTATCATCTCGACTATTACACATCAGAGCCACACATGTACACACGAAGGATATTGCAGGTGAAGTATTGAATAAACAAAAGCATGTTGTAGAATGATAATAATAGGAAGTTATGGTCTATAAGAAGTTGATGATACTATATATTACACATGGGTAGTCCATGTGCAGTAATAGCATAAAGGTATCAAAAGAAATCAAGTCCCAAATGTAAGACAGTGGCTGCCTCTGGGAGGAAGCAGGGCCACACGAGGGGGGATGGCAGGGACAACATGGGACTGGAGTGGTAGTGGCACCACTTTATTTCTTAAGCTGGGAGGGGACATGTGACATATATTATATTATTATTTAAACCTTCTTATATTTATAAAATATTTCTCAACACATTTTTCAGAAGAAAAATATCAACAACTTAAGTTGCTGGTGAACTACTGAGAAAAGGAACAGAAACAAGGACTCGACTCCTTTCTAGTGACTGACGTTCTACTTGAAACAGGTTCTAGACAGCCTCTATTCCTAGACGGCATAAAACAGCCTCATGATAAGACACAGGCAGAGAATTAAGGCCAAATCAACAAAGCTATGTGGCATGAGCCGCCACCATTTAAACTCCAAATTTACCCAAATGAGAAGACCCTGGTTCTGTATTTCCAGACATAAAGCCTGGTCTCACATGGATTGGCATGGACTGTGTGCGTGCTGAATTTACAGAGCCAGCTCACCCGGTGAGCAGTGAAGCTTAGGGGCTCCCTTAGAGGCCCTACTGCACACGTGTGGACAGTGTGGGGTCTATATATTTTAGTATTTCAGGTGGCATCGAGTGACTTACCTGCTGTTCCATGGTGCTTGGGTCAATAAAGGTCACCAGGTCTACAGAAAAGTAACCAATCACATTTCTCATTTTACAAGCATTTCCAATTTGGAGGCACAAAGAAATGAGAACTTGGGGATCCACTGAGGTCTGAGGCACGGTGGTACCGGAGGAGATAAAGGGGCCTTCTGCATGAAACTGGTCCCCCGTTGACAGCACCCTGATTTCTCCGTTGGGCTCTATCACCATGTCCACCGTCAGGTTGGTGACACTTTCTGCAGGTGGGTAAGCTTCGATCACGCCTCCTGGTGGGAAAAGCATGGAGCAGTGAAAGGATTCATTCACATGCACTGGGCCCACTGAGGGCAGGAGGAACGAGGCCAGGCTCTGGCAGATGCACTGAGTTTCAGATCCGGTATCTGCCATGACTCGTGAGACTTTGGACAAGCAGCTTCAATTCTCTAAACTTCCTTTCCCTCATCTCTATGATAGGCATAAAGAAAACCAACGGACCAGATTGTTTTGAGCCTTAGAAGTACGGTATTTATAATATTTAGCTCAATGCTTGGCATACAGTAGGACTCAATGGATGGGAGTTCTAGTTCTGATCATAATGAGGGAGGCACCATAAAAATCATCATGTCTGTGCTCATTCGTTACATAAATGAGGAACCTGAGGCCAAAGGCAAATCTCTTGGGGGAATGAGCTGCCCATAGTCCACAGTTCATATCTGATGACCAGTGCTCTTTCTGTTCACCTTCACTGCTTTTTGAAGTTTTGACAGTTTAGGGCTTTCATTAGGCATAAGAGAACACTGACCATTATGCGAGCCAAAGAACTCCTATGAAAAGCCACTTGTAAATCATCTTATGAAATACAGAGCTAGGATAAGCTGCCATTCTTTTTTAAGATGGAGAGGTTTGTTCACTCCCCCACCTTTTTTTTTCTCAGAGAGAGAGGAAGGGAGAGAGAGGAAGGGAGAGAGAGAAACACTGATGTGAGAGAAATATCAATAGGTTGCCTCTCGTATGCACCCCAAATGGGAACCAAACCTGCAACCCAGACATGTGCCCCAACTGGGAATTGAACCTGTGACATTTTGGTTTATGGGACAACGCTCCAACAAACTGAACCACACTGGCCAGAGCAATGCTACCATTCTTGAGAAAAAGGTGTGCTTCCTCCTTGCCAATAATGAGAGCTTTCACTCTAAATAACAAAAATCACACAGTCAAACTTGGTGCTTAATCACAGCAAAGATATTAGCCCTCGCTAATTGTGTGTACTAGTTCAGTGGTGTTTTCAAAAATCACATGGCCCTGATTTTCTGTTCTCAGGCCTAATATAAATCTTACTGTGTATATTTTCCCTTTTATAGGAAAAAAATTTAATACTTCTTGTAAAGAATTAGATGATGTAATTTAAAAGTAAAGACAGCTAAATGTCCCCTAGACATGGTGGGCTCAGGAGCCTGACAGCATTAAATATACTCCATCTGTTAATTCACAAAAATGCTGGGAGTTGACCTCTGCCCATAGGCTTCAAACAGCATATATTGGTAAATCCTGAGATTTTAGCGGTTCTTAAACACAGCCATCTGTTACTTTATACAAAGGTACTTTCCTTAAATTTCTTTAAATGTAGTTGGAACTGGCACTAAAGAAAGCTGAGTTTTAGAAGAAAAACTGATTTATCTTTCTGGTTGGTTTCAGATACACTTTTCTTCAAATGAGGTCTACTAGTGTGTGCTGTACCTAAATACCGGTTGTTGGGGAGTTTGCGAGGTTAATGCAATAAAGCAACAACAAAATCCAGAAAAAAAACCTATTGAGTCTCTTTGACTTAGATAACTTTGTGGCTTTAGCTGTCACCTATATTTTGAAAGGCAGTGCGTCAGTGAAAACACATTGTCCATTATATTTACAAGATCACTTTAGATTTTTACTTTCAAGTAGCTTATTTGTATTGTCCTGTCAGCATCATGGGCACCAAATTTTCACTGCTAATATTTTTCCTTTCAAAGCAATGAGTTCCTTTTTTTTTTTTTTTATAAAAGTGTATTGCCTTTGATATAATCCTATGGCAATGCAGAAAAATATTTGCAGCCCATTTTGTCATCATAAGCATACGTGAGAGAGCAGAAAGGAACGGCAGGAGGTGGAGGGAGACGGTGGCCTCAGGGTCAGGGAACCTGGGGTGGGAGACAGCCTCATTCTGTCGGGGAACATTTATGGAGGCCTGATGTATGCATGAGGCTCAGAGCTGGGCAGAAGTTTGAAAATACATGACTTACTAAACTGGATTTCTGAAATGTGCTAAAACTGTAGGATCTAACTGTGTTCCTATTTACCATGTATTTGTTGTGTGATTTTGCCTGAGTTACTTCTTAGCTTTGAGTCCGTTTCTTCATCTATAAAATTGGCTCTCTAATTAAGCTGGTTCTGTCTCTCATACGCAGGCACTGTGTTTACAACAAAGCTGGAAGGAAGAAAGGAAGGAAGGAAGGAAGGAGGGAGGGAAGGAAGGAAAGAAGGAAGGAAGGAAGGAAGGAAGGAAGGAAGGAAGGAAGGAAGGAAGGAAGGAAGGAAGGAAAGGAGGGAGGGGAAGGAGGAAAGATAAAGAAAGAATAGAGATGAACAGGGGGTTGAGGCAAAGCCTAAGCTTGTGTTTATGCAGATCAGGGGAGACGAGACAGTGGTTGGGAAAACCATTTCTAATCTACTAAACTCATGTGAAAATATGTAGTTAGAGAAGGTTTGTAGGCTGGCCTTGGAAGACCCAGAAACCTCCTCACATCTTGTCCTGGATGGATCTGGAGATCTTCACGGTCTTCTCCTCCTAACTTAAAAAGAAAACCCTTATTCTTGGCCTTTTTTTGTTGTTGTTGTTATTGTAGGTAATTTATTTTCTTCCAGTTGTTCTTAAGGTTGACTCTTTTCATTTTATTTTTCTGTCAGTGGGTGCATATGGAAATTCGTAGACTCACAGAAATTTAGATTTGAGAGAACATTGGAGATCACGCAGCATTTCATTCCCCACCCGTGAAGACCCCTTTTTGACATTCCTATTAGATGGCTGGCCATCCAACCCCTTGCTTAATCATTTATTAACAGTGTGTGTGTGCTAAGCCCTCCCATCCTGCCCTGCCCAGCCAGTGCATTCCACCAACAGATCTGCCCTTTCCGGTGCTCTCTCGTTCTCTCAGCTAAAGTGTGTTCCTTGATAAACACTATACTCACTGGCTGTGGCCAAAACTCCTGGAACAACACAGGCATAGCTCTGTGCAACACAGGCTCTGCTACATATCAACAGTGACCTGGGGCAAGTTAGTTGATCTTTTGTATTACAGTTTACCCCTCTAGATGAGGGTGATAGTGGTACCTTCCTGATAGGATAATTAGGAGGGTCAAATGAATTAATATACATATACTTAGAATAGTGCCTGGCACACAGTAAGCTCTGTCGGTGCTTATTATGCTATCGTCACTGCTATTGGCTTCATTGTGCTGTTGCTGTTGTTACCATACAATTATGATATTATTACATAATGATGCAAATAAAACATTATTATCATCTGATAGCAGTGAATAGAGTGGAAATAGATTTGTTATGGCCTGATATACTAGCCTTCTCTTATCATTCATGTGGGTAAGCATATAAGAGTATCTGCCTTACACTGTAACCTGCTAGGGAGTGAGGGGCATTGCATGGATATCCCTGGGTGTAACACTTGCTCAGGGACCTCTGCCAGGGGGGATAAACACCATTCACTCCATTCATTCCCTCATCCACAGACTCCCTGATGTCCTTAGAAACTGAGGATGAGTTAGGAGGAGGATGAAAGGAATGGAGGATGCCTTTGTTCCAGGACTGTAGAGGATCCTTATTTAGAAATTCCACATTCAGAACTGGAGGTGAGACCATTTCTACTCTCCTAGAAAACAGAAGATGAAACTAACATGGATTAAAGACCTATTTGGGGTCAGCTCTGTGGTAAAAACTTTCACATCTGTGTCTCATTGAATCCTCCCAGCAACGCTGTGAAGTAGGTGAATGAAGAAACTGGGCCTCTGAGGGTTTAAGAACTTTGCTCGTGGTCATGGATGAAATCCAGATCCAGGTCACCTGACTGCAAAACCCATCTCTCCGGAGAAGTCTGTGGTGCAAGGAAAGGGCTAGAATCTTGAGCTGTGCACGTCACGCTTGGTGTGTTCCGTTCCTATTTACTTAAGAGGCTGAGTGCAAGATAAATATTTAGGCAAAGTTTAAAAAGGAAGGAGAGTCTGCTGCCGGAGTACTTTTCTAAACCAACACAAGAGATGCAGGGTGTTTAAATTGGCCCCAGGTTGACCCGAAACTAGAATTCAAGGTTGTGGAAACTGATGCTCAATAGAAACTTTACAGTCTTATTTACCTTGACTGAGAAATGTGTGGAGGAATTTCCTCCACGTCGGGAAGCGTTTCTCATTGACTGGCTGAGCGTGCTGTGCTAAAATGCCCGCCAGCTCCTCGGAGATCTTCACCAAAGCTGGCTCCTGCAGAAACAAATTAAATAGAACCACAAGCAATTTTACTACAGAAATGAAAACTGCTTGTGGAGTGATTAAAAACCAGACCTCCAACAGGCAAAAAAATAAATAAATAAAAAAAATGTGGTTACTGTTTACCCAGAGTCATAAAGCCATTTTGAAAAGTTTCTCTCTTTTTCTAGCCACTTCAGTTTTCATATTCCAAAGTGATTTGGCCCCTAAGTGTGGTGCCTGTTGCCTCTGAAAGGCAGCCTTCTGTCCGCGCATCAGGTAATTCTGGTTTCCGACCCACAGCAGCCCTACCAGCTGAGTGTCCTTGGGCAATGAGCCTCCCCACTCTGAGCCTCAGTTTCCCTTTATATAAAATCAGATCCTTTAGGCCTGATGCTTTTTAATCTATGACATTACCAGGGATGACCTCGGAGAAATTACGAAGTGGGGCGGGTCTTTCTTGGGTACCTCCGTCTCTTTAAGCTATGCCCTTACCCCCTTGTTGGGGGGCTTCCTTGTAACCATGCAATCAAAGCCTTAAACTTTGGGCTGATGCTATAGATGTCGGGTTTTAGGAAGAGGAAGGTTGAAAGAGTGAGGCGAGGAAGGGGCTGGCCCCATTGAACTAGATGTGAGATTGGCCCCATAACATCATAAAACAACCTCGAACTACAGAGCCTTCTGTCGAAGTGAAAACAGGAGGAAACCCTCTGGCGAATTAGAAGCTTGGCTTTTTGATAGAAAAATCCTCATTTTGCCAGGACAATTTTCTTTTTGAATAATTTTAGACTCTCTAAAAATTTTCAAATGGAATTCACCTCTTCAGATCTTATCTCTGCCAGAAGGAGGGCAGTGTCATAGATACACTACCATTTGATGGGCAGAATTTATATTTAAAATATGTGACACTGGCAAGAACTCAGGCTTGCTTTGGGCTGCTGGGAACTTCCAGGCCTATAGGTGAATGCTCAGTGATTTGGGGAATCAGAAAAGAATCAGCTTTAGAGAGTGGGGCGATAAGGAGTCTTTGATATAATCTGTAAGGCCATTTATTTACAACTTCCCTAATGTTAAAGTGCTTGTCCTCACCCTCGCCCCAGCTGCTTGGAACACCTGGTTCATTCTGGGTCCAGTGCCCTCTGAAAATCTACATTAGAAGACAAGCTTTTAAGAATATATATACTCTAGGCAGGTCCAGGTAATCCACATAGTTTCTGAAATATCCAGAAAATCCTGGTGGGAGTATCTTACTAGTTAGCTCAGTAAGTGCTTGACCTGCAAAACAAAATGTCAGGAGAAAGGGAGAGAGCTCCGGACCACGCCCGTTCAGGATGGCTCCCTGCAGAGTGCGGGAGTTCAGCTAAGAAGGGCTGGGGAAGCTGGCCCAGGCCGCCAGCCTCTGCCTCTGGAGGTGGAGGCGGGGAAATTGCTGTCAAAGCAGAGGGTCTTTCCCCTTTCGTACCTCGCACAAATGTTCACAAATTTTTTCCTGCTCTTATGGTACATCCTGTCATCTCCCCAAAGCCCTGCAACTAAATCCTAAAGAATCACACAGGACATGTAGTTCCAACAACCTCCTACTTTGTTCCTTTTTGGAGCACTGTCATCCTTCTTACTGTCCTACACTTGTTTCAGTTAAAACCGTTCTACTCTCTCAAAGACGCCAATTGTCTGTGATTCATGAAGTGCCCCAAAGCTGGGACCGGGAAGCATAGCTGTGGATTCCCACCCTGCTTGGGAAAACCGAGTGACAAGGAAGGAAGCCACGCAGGCCAGGCCCTCTCCCAGGACAGTGGAGACTTGCCTCTTTTTCTGCCTTCTGCCCTCCTATGAAAGGTGTTAGCCCATCTACCCGGTGCTCTGTTATGTGGTAATTCACATCAGGACATAAAAGAGGAACAGTTCACTCATCCATCTGTTCATTCACTCATCCACATATCAAAAATTACAGGTTCTTGGAGTGTCAAAATCAGAGACAGACAGTGAATGGTGGTTGTGGGGGCTGGGGGTCGGGTGGGGAATGGAGAGTTAGTGTTTACTGGGGACAGAGTTTCATATTTCTGAGAGAAAAAGTGATGGTGGTGATGGTCGCACAACATTATGAACATAGTTAATACCACCCCACCATACACTTAAAAGTGGTTAAGACGGTAAATTTTATGTTATGTGTATTTTATCACAATAAAAAAAATTGGGAAACAATCACAGAAGGTCAGGCCTTTTAAGTTACTGAGGCAGGGGAAAAAGTGTTTACATATTTTTAAGAACTGGGGATGGAGAGGCCCATTTTTCCTCCCCTTTATTCCCTTCTGCCTGGTATACCCCTTCCCTCCACGAATCTGCCTCTTCAGTTCATGTCCAGGAGTCATACCTATAAGCTCTTTGGCTTCTCCATTTCCTGTACTATTCTTAACACCCCCCTGTCTATTTTGTGTCTCCCAATTATACTTCTTAATCCCTGCACCTTTTCCCCCATTCTCCCTCTTCCCCCTCTCAGCTGATAAACCTCCATGTGATTTCCATGTCTATGATTCTGTTCCTGTTCTAGTTTGCCTAGCTCTTTATTTTATATTTTTAGATTCAGTTGTAGATAGTTGCGAGTTTGTTGTCATTTTACTGTTCATAGTTTTGACCTTCTTTTTCTTATATAAGTCCCTTTAACATTTCATTTAATAAGGGCTTGGTGATGATGAACTCCTTTAGCTTTACCTTGTCTAGGAAGCACTTTATCTTCCCTTCAATTCTAAATGATAGCTTTTCTGGATAGAGTAATCTTGATTGTAGGTCCTTGCTTTTCATCACTTTGAATACTTCTTGCCAGTCCCTACTTGCCTGCAAAGTTTCTTTTGCGAAATCAGCTGACGGTCGTCTGGGAACTCCTTTGTAGGTAACTCTCTGCTTTTCTCTTGATGCTTTTAAGATTCTTTATCTTTAACTTCTGGCATTTTAATTATGATGTGCCTTGGTGTGGTCCTCTTTGGGTCCAACTTGTTTGAGACTCTGTATTTCCTGGACTTGTATGTCTATTTTGTTTGCCAAATAGGGAAGTTTTCTTTCATTATTTTTTCAAATTCAGTTTCTTGCTCTTCCCCTTCTCCTTCTGACACCCCTATGATTTGGATGTTGGGAAGTTTGGAGATGTCCCAGAGTCTTCTTATTCTCTCCTCATTTTTTTGAATTTGTATTTCCTCATTCTGTACTGGTTGACTGTTTATTTCTTCCTTATGTTCCAAGTCATTGATTTGAATCCCAACTTCCTTCCCTTCACTGTTGGTTCCCTGTGGATTTTTCTTTATTTCACTTAGTGTAGTCTTCATTTCTTCCCTTATGCATTTGCCATACTCAATGAGATCTCTAAGCATCCTTTTCACCAGTGTTTTGAACTCTATCTGATACGTTGGCTATCTCTGTTTCTCTTAGTTCTTTTTCTGGGATTTTGATCTGTTCTTTCATCTGGGCCATATTTCTTTGTCTCCTCAATTTGGCTGCCTCCCTGTGTTTGTTTCTGTGTATTAGGTAGAGCTGCTTTTACTTGTCTTGGGGCACCTGTTACATTGAAAGGGGCAGGGCCTCAGGTATTCACCAGGGTAGGGCAGCCCATTTGGTCATTTTGTGGTGCTGTATGTGGGGGAGGGGTCAGAGAGGGAAAAATGCCACTTGCTCAGCTCTTGCCCCATTTCCAGTCACTTACCCCACTTCCCATATGAGACTGACACCCTTCTAGCTGCTGCCCTGGTGCTGAATCCCGGAGTGGGTAGGTTTGCGTACATTATAGGACTGTGCAGGTCCTTTCAATAGACACCTGAGAGACCAGCAGTTTCTTCTGCCTCCACAACCCCCACTGATTTTTACAGCCAGAAGTTATGAGGCTTTATTTTCCTGGTGCTGGAACCCTGGGCTGCATGATCTGGCCTGGGGCTGGGATGGCTCACTCCCCAGGTATCCCTTCGTTTTTATCTGCCACATGTGAATGTGAGACTGCCCATTCGGCCGGCCACCGCTGCTGTCTCACCACCACTGCACTGCACCCTCTCCGCCCTAGCTCCCTCTCGCCACCCCCCACCCATCTGGATGAATATTTCTTCTTTAAATCCTCAGTTGTTGGACTTCCATACAGTTTGATTTTCTGGCAGTTCTGGTTGTATTTTATTTTGAGGTTAGTTATGAACCTCCTTATGGTTGTGTGAAGAGGCAAAGCATGTCTACCTATCCCTCCATCTTGGCCAGAAGCCTGGCCCGTGACTTTGAGGCCAGTTCTGCCCAGTGCTCGGCACAAGGAACACTAAATGATTGTGGAATGAATCACAGCATTGGTCACCCAGGGACCCATCCCTGAACAGCTGAAGTTACAGAGTACAAGAAAGTGCAAAACAGGCTCCCTCCCTGCTGCCCAGGAACCACTTGGGTGATGACCACTTAAGAACCAGTCATTCTTACTAGGTGGATAGTATGGGATTCCCTGCCCCTGAGGGGCATGGGGAAGATAAATGAGGTGACATTTACGAAGTGTCATCTCAGATGCAACACGCTATTTGAGGGCCAATAATTAACTCGCAAGGCTGCAGCCTGTGGGAGGCATCTGGACACTGTGCCAGGTGTCACCACCACCTCTGCTTACAAAGCCGGCCGGCTTGTGTGCTGTGTGCAAAGCCACAGCGAGGGGTACATTTCCTAGAGGGAAGGCTACTGCAGGAGTCAGAGGATGACTTGTGTCCTGTCATGAGACGTGCACTGCTGAAGGCATGGGCAGGGTGACATTCAGTAGGAGGTTCTGAGTCACGCAGAAGCAGTTTGGGCCATGATTACTTCTCTGAAAGAAAAATAGACAAATAATGGGGTGTATTAACTGTTTGACTTATTTCTTTATTTTGAAAGTGCCTGATATATGGATTCTACTAGAGGTGGCCTTAATACCGGTGAAGAGAGAATTATCCTTTTATCCCTACAAAAAAAAAAAAAAAACAAGAAAGAAAAAGAAAAGAATACAACAGGATCTGCAACTAATGTATTCAAGA